ACAGCAAAAACAATGGGTGCTGTGGGCCATCAGATAAGGCAGCTGACCAGAGACATCCTGTCCCGGCTGAGGGATGAATCAGGAACACCCCTGAACCCAGACAGATTCACCCTGCAGTGCGGGGCTAACGGTAGGGTTGTAGTTCAGCCTGTAAGACGACCTGCTGTCTCCACATCTGGCAACAAAACAGACAAGAGAAAGAAGGAAAAAAAGCAATAATGCAGCATTTCCTGCTGAGACTTGACCTTTTTGGTTTTGGGATATTGCGGAACCTAATTCCCTGACTCTGGTTTTAGGGACTCCTGTTTTGCTAAAGTGTGTGTTGATTCACCACTGTTGAGAACCTAAATGCAAAAAGAAAAGACACTCAAAAAATAAGTAAAAGAAAAAAAAATGTAAATATGTTATTTGATCGTAAAAATGTAGATCACACACTGGACATTCTCTTCTTGTTAAAGGTGGATGTGGCCAATGGGGTAGTTTAAGGGAACAGCTAAGCTGTTGGTAATGCCAGCAGTCTCTTTGTGCCTGTTAACATTAAAGTCATAGTCTTTCTCATTTTTACAGAAAATTGTAGGCAATCACGCATGTTTAAAAGTCAGCTTGGCCAGGATTGTGATATTTCCAGACAGGATAGAGATCTAAGAGGAGTATTTACCTGTAATCTTGCCTTTAGTGTTTTCCTACTCGGTATAAGAACGAGGTTAAAGGGTTGTATTTATTAAACTTTCTTAGGTCCATGAAATGCTTATAGAACTGTTAAGGACGTTTTCCCCCCTCTCCCAAAATGGTAAACTTTGGTCAGCGTGATAAGAATATTGGGTTATTACAAGTCCAAAGTTTACTGATTTGTTCCCAGTATTTGAGGGCATGCACTGTTTGAGTAAAAAAAATAAACTGAAATAAAAAAAATCAAATAGATGTCTTTTGCTTACATGTCTTGATGACGTGCAGTATACCAATGACCCAAAGGACTTGGCCTTAATTTGCATTTAATGTGTTTTGGTAAATACGTATGTACATCATACATAAGTGCATATATCCATAACAAAAAAGTTCTTGCATAAGAATTCAACTATAGTTTAACCCCTTTCATTTGAAGTGTTTTAGAGTTTTTGGCAAGATTATTCTACCTCACAGCTTAGTTTTTGTTAATTTTGGCTACATAAAAAAAAAAGCCCCCACCCCGCTTTGCTTTTTTTCTTTCTTTTTTTTTGTCTTTTGAAGTGCACTCGATAACAACAATTTCATTATAAATGTGACCGTAATCACACATAAAAGATTCAGTTTCTGAAACAGGAAAAATAGAATCACCAACTTTATTTAAAAGGTCTGAATGCTGTTTGAATGTATGTGTGTGTTTGTTTGTTTGTTTGTTTGTTTGTTTGTTTTTTAAAGAATATTTATTATCTGAGTAGAATCAAGTGATATTAAAAGTCTGCATCTTATTTATGTGTACACACAAGTAGTCACCTGAGTGAGTAAACTGAAGAAAGATGCATAAAGTATTTGAATAGTGATCAATCTGAAGCACAATTTGAATGAACTGAAATTTTGACTTCTTTACAAGTACTTGTGAGTTTTTTTCTTTTTGGATAAATTTGATTCTCAGGCCCCAGTTTTGTTTTGTTTTTTTCTGGCTAAAATTTGAAATTCTCTAAAGTGCACTTGTTTAATACAAATCCTTCATTATCAAAGTCACCCCAATTAAACAAACCCTAAATAATAAATTACTGATTGATATTTAAGAAGTTTGAATGATGTTTGGATGCCTCCTTTTTATATGTATAAGATTTTTTGACAGTTGAAGTATTAATAGAGGTCGCTGCCCTGTTCCTGGTTATGCTGCACAATAAGTCAGCTGAGTGAGTGAAATTGAGAAAAGTCCATGAGGTAGTTTATGCAGCTTTCGGTTTTCTTTTTTTCTTTGTTTGTATTTTCTTGTTTGGCTTGAACCTTTTGTTTGCTGTTTGTATGAATTTTGTTTTCGTAAATATTTGCTTTGTTTCTGAAGTCAAATGTGTTTGATTCCATTGTGATTTTTGAAAGTGTGCGTTTGCTTACAGAACTTGAGTTGCTCCTGCAGACTTTTTAAAATAAAAAGAAATCTTTTGAAATACTTTTGAATGGCCTTGATTTTAAAATCAGCATATAGGAACATATTATTCAGTCTTAAAATATCAATGGATATTATAGATATATAAGATAAGATAAGATAAGATA